GTGCAGGATTTTTCCTCTGGGGCATCGCAGCAGCCTAATTCCAGAGCTAGATGGGAAGGCAGCTGCCTCCCTCCCCATGTAACGCCCCCAGGCTTTGGTTACCAAACCCCATGGCTCTAGAAATGGAGTGGATTCTGGATCCTGGATGGCTTAGTTTTACAGGACTTGAACTGCTAAGGTAAAGGACAAGGAAGTAGTTTATTTTTTTCTTTAATTGACCTCCTGTCGTCTGGACAGGTGTGTCAACACCACCTGGAACCTGCCCTGCCTTCCCCTCGAGGTCCTGCACTGTGTCCTGCGTCACTGCTTGGCATCTTCACGGGGTTCGGGCTATTTTTGCTCGCTTCCTTCTGAGACTCTTCAATCTGATAATCTCCTAATCTCCAGCTCCTGGCAATTCCTCTGCAGTTGTCTTTGCCTTATACCTGGCTTAGGTCTTGGGAGTTGTCTTCAAAATAGCTCCTGACCTTGTTGGTTAATGCATGTTAAGAAATAGACCTGCATAGCTGCGGGAGCCTTCTCATTCATTCCCTAAATTCTTGTTGTTGCCTGTGTTGGGGAGAGAAATTCCTGTTTCAAGTCACGACCCTTCCATCAGTCTCTTGTACAGCATCTCCTGGTTTACACCCATTTTCAAGACCAGATTTTGAGTTCTTTCTTACCCCAGGTGCACTCTGCTTTCCTTTGTGGGCTCTTGAGGTCTTAAAATAGGAGCTGCCCAATCTGGGCTTAGACTCTGATGAGCACCACAGAAATATCCATGGTGTCTGTGAGAGGGGACACGTGCTTTCTCCTGATTGCAGAGAAGGAGAAGGGATCTTGAAAAGAGCACAACAAGGAGTGTGAACCCTATTGCCCATAAACTCCTCTTGATAAAACGTGCCTAGTGGGGTGGTTGCAAAGGAAATTTGAAAATATAGGATTGATTTTTAGCTTTCTCTGATGAGGATCAAACACCTAATCTTATCCATTGGGTAACTGGAACAATAGGAAGAAGGCCAGAGGAGAAAGTGCCTTTGTTAGCTTTCTTTTTGTATTATCTAGCCCTGTGTTATCCCTCACCTTTTGTGCTCCTCTGTAACACCAGCTGTTAAAATACATGCCTAGAAATATGCACCAGGGTTCAGGATGTGCCAATGTTCACAGGCAGTGCCTGCTGGCATTGTCTAGGCTGTTTTGCTGGTTTAGTTTGGAATTTTGGTTGGATTTGAGATGGAAGGAGGGTTTCCTGGATGAGAACTGGCTCCTCTCTGGATTAGGCAGTGGAGATACCACCTCAGAACTGGAATAGGGAAGGAGCACCCACTGGGTCTGAGAAAAAAGCTAGAGTCCTCTGAACTGTTTGGGGTGGTTTTGGAATAATTTTTTCCTCTGAAGGGAGTAGGAGAATTCATGAAGGAACTCATCGAGCCAGGCTCAGGAAGTCAATCACCTCTGCTGCTTCCTCAGACCACCATGGTGTTGTTAGTTGTGATCCAAACTTTTCAAAACCACGGTAGGTATTAAGATAAAAACCATCTCTAATAGTGGGGAGTTGCAGATCTTTGGGCAGGATCCAGAGATTATGGGAAAGAAGCTGGAGAGGCACCAGCAGGAGTAGTGATGTGTGAGTGAGAAGTGGCTGCTAATGCCAGGCTTGGGCAGGTTTCAAGGCTTTGCTGTTTCCTTTGAGATCAAGTTCAACTTGGTGAATGATTTCCAGGAAGAGTTTGGGAATGGAGGTCTGGGATATGGCAATTCCCTGGACTTTAGGAAGGAGTAGGAAATACTCCTCTTTTGTGACCTGCTTTTGCAGTGGGTACTTTGAGACAAAAGCCAATCTGATGGGTTTCCTAGGGCAGTGCTGCTGTGTCTGTCCCTTTATCCCTTGCTCAGAGCGTGCTCTGTCATCCCTAAATCAGGTGAGTACTTGGTCAGGAACATACCATGATTATTTGGTTATTGGTAGGGAAACAACACAACCTGCTCCAGGGGAAGTGGAAGAAATGAGGAAATATTCTGTCCTGAGGAACCAACCCACCGTTCTTGTAACGATCCCCTCCACAGGGGTTTGAGCTGCCTCATGCCTAACTAAAATAACCATGGATGCTGCCTTCTTTCCCCAAATTGTGGCCATGGTGAATTAGGATAAGGAAAGCAAATGATACATTTAAGTGAGTCACGAAAGTGTGGGCAACTGGGCCCTACAGTAATTTAAAAATAAGTATGGGATGAGATTAGCAAATCTGACAGTGCTCAGCTAAGCAGAAGGATCTGCCAATTGCAAACAGCCCATTCCCAATAAGACCTTCCAGTGTAGCTGCAGGCTCTTGTTGTGTGTGGGGAAAAAACCAGCACGTGGCTGCTTTGATTGATTTTCGAACAGGAATAGCAGAAACAAATATAATACAGACTGAGAGGAATAGATATTCCTCTGGTTTTTTTTCCCTTCTAGGAGACTGGGCACTGCCAGGGGAGGAAAAAACACTTGATTGCAGTATTCTGGCAGCTGAGCTTCCCGGATGTCATCCAGTTGTATCCTGACATGTTGATTTAAAAAAAAAAAAAAAAAAAAAGGTTTTTAAAAATATTTTCGGGGCAAAAAGAGTTGGAAAATGCAGTGTAGGGGTGCAAACATCAATGAGCAAGAGCCTGGTGGGGATTCTACCCGGGGTTTACTCTTCTTTGGAGGCTCTGCTTGGCTCTCCTCTGCTCCAGATGAGTCATGGACACTGTTACTGCAGCAACGCTGCTGCCAAGGAGGGGGATAAAGCTGTTGCCATGGTGCTGGATGGGCAGGAATTCTGCAGGAGTAAAAACACTTAATAATTAACTTGCAGACAAACGTGGCTTCAGATTTGCCCGCGTGCTCTAGGGAAGGTGTCCCGGGCTCCCAGGCGACTGCCCCCTCTTCTGTACAGCCCCTCGCCTTCCCAGGAAGCAGCCTGTGGCCATGGGCCCAGGGAGGCAAAGCTGGACTGTGGGAAGCTGTGCCTGCTTCCATCAATTTGTATTTTGCATGTGGCTGCCCAGAGCTGGGAAGTTGTGGGACGGGTTAAGAATTTGGGTGGCTGATGTGTCAGAGCCTACAATCACGGTGTAATTGCAGGACATCTCCCTGAGGAATGCTAAACATCAGGGCTTAAGGCAAGGGCTTGGTTTAAATGTCTGTCCCGTCTTCTTGGCTACTGGTAAAGACAGAAAAGACAATTCTGTGCAGTTCTTGGACTATTTGGCCAAAAACCAGCCTGGTGTTTTCTTGTGGTAGTAGAAAAGTTGAGCTTTTAGCTTGTTTTGCCTGATAGTGTGGGTGCTGGTGTTAGTTTTTCCTTGTGCTGTGTTGATAGGGAAGAGAAAATCCCTGCCAAATGCCAGGGATGCTTTGAACACTGTCCTCTCTCTTAAAGCCCATTTATAGAATTGTAGAATCTCAGAGTGGTTTGGGTTGGAAGGGACCTTAAAGGTCATCTCGTTCCACCCCTGTGCCATGGGCAGGGACACCTCCCACTGGACCAGGTTGCTCCAAGCCCCATCCAACCTGGCTTTGAACGCTTTCAGGGATGGGGCATCCGTAACTTCTCTGGGCATTCTTTTGAGCATTCACCATATGGGGATGCTGGCGAGCAGTAAAACTGTCCAGAGAGGACATTTAACACCTCTGTTCCTTGTACCGAGTGTACTTGGAGAGTTCCCCAAGTTATGGACATTTGGAAGGAATAAAAGGCTTCTAGGAAAATGTTTATGCTCAGCAGCCCAGGAGCAGTCGCTCAGAGCAGTCCAGGATTTGTTATACCTGTGCTGAAGTTGGATTGTCATGGGCAGATCTGAGCTCTGGGCACTTGTATCTTGTTTTTATGTAGTCAGTGACTAAGCCTAAGGTGGATGGATGTATTTGAATTTCAGAAATAGGAAAGCAGACAGAAATAAGTGATTAGCTCAGATTAACAGCGGGAATTAGTAGCTGAGAAAGTGCTAAGAATTAGAATGTTAAAGTGTTATTTTCACCTTGGAACCTCCAAAACCAGTCTCCTACATCAAGCAGATGTGCAGCTGTTTGAAAGCTGACCTGACTTGTCTACATACAGCATTTATTTAGGTTTGTCAGGATAAAGTAAGTTATTGGAGCTATTTTCAATCTGTGCTGTATGTGCAGTGGAAATGAAGCACCACTGCTCCTTCCCCAGGGAGGAGGCTGATTCCCATGCCAGGAGCTGGCTCAGGGCACATCAAGGCTGAAGGCTAAATCCATGGGGGTTTAGTAGTGGAATCCTCATCATTGGAAGTGTTCAAAAGTCATGTGGATGTAGCAGTTGGGGACATGGTTTAGTGGTGGACATGGCTGGGTTAATGGTTGGATTTGGTGACCTTAGAGGGCTTTTTCAACCTCAACAACTACATGATTCTGTAATGATTTTCTCCCAAAGACACTGACTCTGCTGGAAGTGGGGATGGGCTCTGCTCCCTGTTTCCTAATACAGGGAAAGGCTTCAATGCCATTTTCAGTGCTGAGGAAAACAAGTCCTTATGTGGAATGAGTATCAGTGGAGAGCAGAGGCCACCCTTTGTCTGCAGAGGGCTGGAGCAGGGAGGTGACACAAGGGAGGACACTCCTGTTCCAGTTAAGTGCAGTCGGCTTAGTGCTCCCAAAGCTGCTTAGCACTTGCATTCTGCCACAGGGCAGTTTTTAAAACAGGCAAAGCCTCTTACATTGGAAAGGCTGGGATTTGATGGAGGTGCTGACTAGTCTGAGTACCCTGGGAGTAAATGGGTGCAGAAGTTGCTGGCAGAGGGTTGGGAAAAGGTGATGACCTCTGGGTCTATGGGGGAGAGAGGCCTTTTCCCTGTCCTGTCCGAGTAGGGCATTCAGAAATTAGACTCTTCAGAGACATCAGTTTTGAATTAAAATGGGCAGTAGTGGGGATGCATTTGGGCTGCTCTCACTGCTTGTGTGGCCTCCAGAGAACAGCTAGAAATTTCTGGTGTTTCAGGGCAGCCTTCATTCAAATTTTTTTTCCTCTGCAGATTATTTGTGCACTCCAGAGGAAAATGTTTACAAGATAGACTTCACCAGGTTTAAAATCCGGGACATGGAGTCTGGCACAGTCTTGTTTGAAATCACCAAGCCAGCAGCTTCAGGTGAGTGCACACACAAAATAACATTTTCATGAACAAACACATGCTGGTGTCTGCTTCCCTTTGCCTTTTCCCACTCCTTTTGCTCTGTACATTTCCCAAAAATAGGAGATGCTCTTGACTGCAGGAGGGCTGGAGTCCCAGCTTGCAGCAGAAATGTTTTTCAGGTGTCTCTTTGTACCAGCACGGTGAGCAGAGCTCACTGCTGCTGTGCTCTCACGGTTGCCATCTGTGATGGGAAAGGACAGATGGATGTTGTAAACAGAAGCAGAGGAGGAGGAGCAGGAGATCACCGTGTGGTTGTTTCTTGGCTGTTCATCAGCTTGTGCCCCCCCCGTGAATAGTTTTGCTGTTAATTTAACATCTTTCAATAAGGACCCAGGAAAATGATATTTCCAAAAGGGAGAAACTTTGTCAATTGGGCAAATTAGACAAACTGAAAATTTCCTTTTTTTTTTTTTTCCTGAATTTTTAGATGGTGCTTGTAACCATCCAAGTGTTACCTGTTGCCGGTGGCAATAAAAACCCAGGGCAACTGTTTTTTTCCTGATTATGCTCTTACAACCCTTCCCCACCCTCCTGCAGGTGAGAGGAAGTTTTCTGTAGCTTATGGGTAGCAAACCAGACATGCTAAGGGGAGATGGCTTGTTCAGAGTCACTCTGCAGTTGTGATCTGAGGTAGGAGCAGTGAATCACTTCAGAAGGTGAGCAGTGACTCAAACTAAAGGTCCATCTTCCAGTACTCCATCTCCAAGTGACCAGCATCAGTGGATGCCTCAGGACAGGAGGAGGGTGAGCTCACCATCAGGCTTCCTCAGGGTGGTTTCCTGGCCTATGTTACTCAATAAGGTGATCACGAGTATTTTCGCCGGGTTTCTGTTTCTGAGATGACTCTGACAGGGTTTACTTTGCCCTTTTCCAGAGCGTGAGCACAATGACAGGAAGGACGTGGACCCCAACGCCGGACGCTTCGTTCGCTATCAGTTCACCCCGGCCTTTCTCAGGCTGCGGCAAGTGGGAGCCACGTGAGTAACTCCCCTCTGCTGCCTGTTCTAGCACAGGAAGCAACTGAAATCCTAGAGAAAATGCCTCTTCCATTTCGATCCTGTCAGGAAGTTGATGTAATAGGGATCTTTTGTTGTCGCGAGGGTCTCCAGGTCTCTTTGCCGGCTGCCTCGCTTTCTCCATCCCTGTGGCTTGTTTGTTTACCTCAGGAATGGTGTCGAAGAGATTGATGCTACAAGGGGCAAAATAAGGTGGGAAGAGTGTCCAGAGAAGAGAAGGCCCTGGAGAGACCTTAGAGCACCTTCCCATGCCTAAAGGGGTTCCCAAGAGAGCTGGAGGGGGACTTTGGACAAGGGCCTGGAGTGACAGGTCAAGGGGAAATGGCTTCACACTGACAGAGGGCAGGGTTAAATGGGATATTGGGAAGAAATTCTTCCCTGTGAGAGTGATGAGGCCCTGGCACAGGTTGCCCAGAGAAGCTGTGGCTATCCCATCCCTTGAAGTGTTCAAGGCCAGGTTGGATCGGGATTGGAACAACCTGGTCTAGTGGAAGGTGTCCCTGCCCATGGCAGGGGGGGTTGGAATTATATGGTCTTTAAGGTCCTTTCCCACCCAAACCATTCCGTGATTTTATATTCCATCTCTTTTCTGTGCATTATAAGTTTATTTGTCAGAGGCTCCTGCCAGCTTCAGAAGATTTGTCTTCAGCTTCCACACTGCACTCCCCAAAAAACATCGATCCACAGATACATGTGAAATGATGAGGTCATGTTTGACCTTTGCCGTGTCTGGCAGTGCTGCTTGCATCCTTCAGTAAACCACCACAGAATCTGACACCTAAAGAATTGTCTTGCTTGTCTCTATTTTGAGTAAAAAGAAGGAAAATATAGTATAAACTATGGTTTGTAATGCTGTGTTTGTGTCCCTGTAGAAGGCTTTAATGAAAAGAGGAAATGATAATTTAGTTAGTGACGTGGATTTGTATCTTGAGCTTTTTTTTTTTTTTTTTTTCAGAGCTCTCTTCTACCTTTCGGGAATGGCGCAAATCTTATTTAGGCAAGAAAGCTCACATCAATCTCACCCTTCTTTTTCAGGGTGGAATTCACAGTAGGGGACAAACCCATTAATAATTTCCGTATGATTGAGAGGCACTACTTCCGCGATCAGCTGCTGAAAAGCTTTGATTTTGAATTTGGCTTCTGCATCCCCAGCAGTAAAAACACTTGTGAGCACATCTATGAATTCCCCCAGCTCTCGGAGGATCTCAGTAAGCTCGCTTTCATTTCTGGGTTATCACACTGTGATGTTCATCTGAGGTGGTTTGGGGGAGCCCTTTTTTAAAAGCTGTCATAAAAAGAGTATGTTGGGTAGAATAATTCATACTTTTAGATCTGTGTTAACACTGATTTTGTTTTTTGGTAGCTTGCATCTCATCACCCACCAGAGTTGCTTTTTTAGTGTGTTTTTTTAATTCGTAAAAAGGAAGCTTCATATCCGAGAGAAAAAAGATAATTGTGTTATAAAACAACCAAAAAATGGGATTAAAAAGGCATCCAATAAATGGATGACTTAAATGTTATGTTCTGGTTTAATGTTTGATGTGCTATATTGAGAGCTTGGGAGGTTTTAGTATGAACATAACTTTTATTGTCTCTCCTATCTCACACAGCACAAGCACTAAATCTGTGTGATCTTATTCTTTACAACCCCTAATTGTGTATGTCAGCACTAATATTACAGTCTGTAGAAAATACAGTGAGACACTTGCTGCCTGCTCATTATCAGACCAGAGCAAATTTCTTTTGAGTTCACTGTTAATCATGGTTTTCTTTTAAAAAAAACCCAGGAAAATAAACCCTGGAAAGTGTAGCGTGATCTCGTTTTGAGGTTAGGTGGAGCAGTTACCTTTTTATGGTGCCTTGATGTATTTGGATTATGAACATTTTTCATCCCTGAAAATGTTCAAGAAAATGTCTGGATGTGGCACTTGGGGACGTGGTTCAGTGGTGAACATGGCAGTGCTGGGTTAGTGGTTGGACTTGATGATCTTAGAAGGCTTTTCCAACATAAATGATTCCATGGTTCTATGATTCTGTGATTATGTTTGAGTTGTCTTAAAGATACTGTCAGCAAATAGTTTGGGTTCGTTCCCATTTGGGTTTTTCACCTGAAGGGTTTGCTGCTGTCTGAGCGACTCCGCGAAACCTGCCTGAAACCCCGTGTTTCCTGAACATATCTGCAGTGTGACTGTTAATTTTGCTTGTTTTGTCCTTTTTTACCCCCTGCAGTTCGAGAGATGATCCTTCATCCCTACGAGACACAGTCGGACAGTTTCTACTTTGTAGACAACAAGCTCGTGATGCACAACAAGGCAGATTATTCATACAGTGGAGGACCTTGAGCGCAGGATGGGCCGCGCTGGCCTCCCCTTTCCTATGGAAGTCGTCAGGGATACCAACACCTTCAGTTCTGCTGCCTGCAGTGTCAACTGGACAAGGATCCACAAAACCAAGGACTCTTTGCCACAGTAGGAGTTTCATGACTAAATTTGCCGGTCTCATCTCTTTTGAGCTTTGAAGCAGACCCAGTTCTTCAGAACTTTAGGCTGAATGATCTTTGGATACCAATTCCCTAAGTTCTTTAAGTGTCTGCTTCGAAAATGGCCTTGTGGGACCTGGGGGATTTTGCCCTAATTCTGTGAATTTGTGTTCTTGCCCTCAAGTATCTTTTAGGACATGATTGCTTTCCCAAAGAATGTAATCAGAGAAACCACGTGAGTGGATGGATGCAGAGACAGAGGTTTGGTTGGTTGCTTCTCTTTGTCAGTGCTTCAAAGGCCAATTTAACTTGTCCATCCCGTCAAAAATGTCGAGCATAGCATCTCACAACGGCAAGTTTCATCTTTAGATTGGCTCTCTCCATAAGTATTTCATCCTTTAGTTTTGGTCCTTCTATTTAATGTTCTGTTTAATCCTGGAAATGCCGAAACTCACAATGAAGACCGGTAGTTTAATGACAGAGCCGTTTTAATTGGGTACTGTCCTTTCACATTTCAGATGAAGGTAAATTAGCATTGTGGGTCTATGAACCTCTGTAAGTACCTTCCATTCATTTCAGGTTTTGCAGAATAATCAGGAAAAATGGAAGGATTTTAGCTTTATTTAACATTTTCACATAGCTAACATTCAGCCTATTCATGCTACACATTTCCATGTCTGTTTTTTTTTTCATCTCTGCTCAATACCAAGATAAGGGCTTCAGCACTGCTTGTTAGAGCAACACTTTCATTTGTCTATGGCAGCTGGAGTATGTGGAATTTCCAATTTTCTATTTGAATCTGCATTTAAAGAATGTTATGACAGTGCTTTCCCTTTGTTAAAAATGTTTCACATCGATAATTAGTACAGGTGAAACAGTCTAATAACGTACAACTTAAAGGCACAGGAAAAAAATTTAGCAAGAGCTCTCTCTTCAGAGTCTGGAAGAAGTTTAAGACCAATTTTGCCCAAGAAGTAGCAACACCAAGAATAAACCAGTATGGGGTGGCCTGTTGTCATGAAACCCCTACTCTAAAGGTCAGTTCACTGATACTTTAAAAAAAAAAAAAAAGGCAGTTGAAGTTTGTAGATATTTCTATAAATACTTGATGTCTCCATGTCTAATTCTGTGAGTTGAAGTGGAACATTCTATGTTAGCCTCGGATAGGTGTGATTGTAATAATTTTTATAAAATACCATTTCCAGTTGTGCTGAGCATCTTTTTAGTCGCAGCCTACGTCAGACAGGACTACAAATGGTTCCAAATGTAGCCATCTGCCCAAGAACAGGGAGGTTTTTGTGCTCTTGCTGGGGTTGTGGTCACTGTTAAATGTGTCACAGGTTGTATTTGGCATGGCTTTCTTGAATTCTGAGAGAGGATTCAGTTTTCTAAAGAAAACACAGTGAGTTTAGGTTACAGCACAGAGTTTTTATTAAGCTTGGTAGCTACAAAAGTATATAAAATTCACTGATTTTACACAACTAGTAGTTGTAGTAATTCTTATCACAATGAGACTTGTATTTATCACTATTTTTTGTCTCTACTGTATTAAATCATACAGCTAGCCTATGGCTGACTGATCTGTTTGAGAGATACAAAGAATTTTCTCCTTATTTGTATAATGCTCTGAGCTACTGAACATTGATTTTTACAGCACAATAATTACTAAAGGTGAAAATAGTTTCAAAAATTTTGTCATTCCTCCTCCCCCTTTTCTTTTTGCATCAAGGCTGTTAAACTAGCCATATATACAATGACATTTTGCAAGTTTTTCTGAATTTTGTTTCAACTCTTGAAGGAGAAAATATGTTGACTTAGAGACAGAAGAGAGTATGTGTGTTTATAATTAGCACCCTGCACAGAGGTTTTTTGGTGGTATTTTTCACCTGCTGTTCATAATAGTCACTTCTGTGCATAAGATTTTTAAAAGACTGTTAGGAATGGTACTTGCCCAGAATAACCAGCCATATATTTAATATGGAAATATACACCTCAGTATGTCTTGGTGAGATTAGTTGTGCTTTGGTGTGGACCCTTGGGTCATTGTACAGAGTTTCCTCTCTGTACAGCACATTGTTGCCACCTGCAATAGTCATGTTCTGCTCCTTTTAAGATTTTGGACTTCAAAACCAAAATAATTCCATAAAAATATTACTGTAGTCAATGGAAACTTGAGTGGTAGACATGCCCCTTATAAAAGAACCACGAGAAAATCACCCTGTCCCCAAGAGGGCAGTGTGTTGTTGGATGGACTTACTGACACTGTGTTTTAGGGTAGGTTTGAGGTTAAACACAACAGTATGAATTATCTGCTGCTGATCTCCTGAAATCTGGTAATTCAGATTCCATGGGCAGTAATTCCAGGCTAACAGAAAATTTGGTGTGAATCATATAGGAGATACTTTACTGAGTCAATTTGTTGTCTAGTATTATTAGGAATATTTTAAACCAGAAACAAACGTTGGACATTTTCAAGAAAATTAATTTCAACCTATTGTAGCTTTAGGTAAAGTTGGAGGAATTTTACTTGTTTTAAAACAAGTCCCCAGAGTTTACTACAAATAACAAATCCTGATTCTTAAACCATGACAAATAACAAAACTTTCTGTGGGAGGTGTAATGAAGGTGCTTTTTTTCTGTGTTCCACTGGAGCAGTTATCACTGTTATCTCCCTGTTTTACTTGGAAACGCCTTGTTAGCATTTCTTTAAGGTCATCTGCATCCACAGTCTTTACAAACTTGTGGGAATCAGATAAGCTGTAAAGTGAAACCCACATTTTTTCCCCTTAAATTGGCAGTTGATTCTTACTATAAACCGGTTGAAAAATTAAATCTTAGCAGCATTGTTCACAGAAGAATTTGTTAATCTCCTGGTCTAGTTAATTATTTGGTATTTTAATATTAATTATTTGGGGTTTACTTTGGAATTTCATTGCGAAATCGCCAAGTAATGGCTCTGGAAAAAAAAGAATTCTTTTATTTTCTTCCTTGGGCCCATTTTAAACGTTGCTTTAATTAGCACTACAGCTCTATTTTAACAAGCCAGCCTGGCAATTCAGGATGTGACTTTCCGAAAGTGAAAGAAAACATCTAAGAGCTAACCAAGATTATCTGCTAATAATGCCTGGCTGTTTCCTGTCATAAAATGGGATTATGTGTGTGCTTTACAGAGTGACTTAATCTTGGAAAAAGAAACTAAGTCTCTGTGAGTGCTAATAGTGACAGAATTTTTCTGAGAGACAGGGAAATTATAGCTCAACACGTTCTTTCAAGGAAATTATAACTCGACACATTTTTTTCACTTTGTCAGCCTTGGATCCCTTGAAATGTCAGGTTTTTTTAAGAAAAGCAGCAGTAATACATTGGTGGTGAGCTGCCATGCTGCATGCTCTATTTATTCACACTTCCGTGGCAGGAAGAGAACAATTTATTTTTAAAATTAACACATCAACTGTGGTTTAAATTCTAGAAACTTTTTGTGGCAAAAGCCAAAATTGTTTCTGTGAATTATCCTCTCTGTGGTGACATTTATGAAATAACTGAATGATCCACTCTCCCTGACTCCGAAGAATTTATTTATTTATTTTATTTAATGTAGGAGGTCTCTGTAGGTTTGAAAACAATGTGTTGGGGTTTAGTTCTTGCTCACAATCTCTCTGTGTGTCTTGTTTTTGAGCAGGTCAGTAAGATGCTCTATTTTCCATCTCTGTCCTCTGTTTGAGTTTCATTCCAAAATCCTGTGTAGAGTGTCACAGTGATGGCTGGCTGTGTGTGAAACATGCAGGCTACCAACTTCCAAATACCTTCAGTTTGAGAAAAGACTGTTAAAGTATATTGAGAAGTAGTGCTACATATCGACCCATAAAAAATAAATTCCAATCTTCATAACAAAAATTATAGAGAACTCTTAGTCATGCAAAGATGGGGGGCTATTTAAGGTAAGAAAATGCTAATATCCAACAGCTATACTTAATAAGTATTATAAAAATGCTGTATTAATTATTCATAACCTGCAAAAGATGGTTAACAGCTCCATTTTAATTAGATCTGGTTAGGAAGGAAACTATAGAGATGATTGCTATTGTTAATAGAGGTGTGGGGGAGCAAATAGAAATGTGTATGTATGGCACAAAAGCTGGGCAGATTTATGTGCATTGACTCTTTGTGGGGCGAAAAAAATGAGGGGAGAGGGGGACAAGGACAGGAAAAGAATTAATTTCAGCTATTTGGACCCAAGAGATTCAAGGCCATGGTAAGTGTAAATGAGTTTTCTCTTGAGTCTGAGTCAGCTGGGAGCCTCATTTCGTGGTTCTTCTCTATACCCCCAGCATAAGCACTACCTAAATTTATAGAAGTGCTTCAATACTAACATTAAATGTCATTCACAGTTCGTATCATTTTCTATACATGGAAATATTTGAAGTATTTGGAGAGTGTGATGCTCTAGGTCTCAACGCTGCAGCTCAGTTGTTTTCTATGTCACTGGTCAGTGTGACCCAGCGGGTGAAATGGTGTTTGTGTGTCTGTAGCCTCCCTCCAAGCCCTGTGTTCATGCCTGCTGTGATGTCTGCTTGTATCTTAATACACCCAGCAAACCTGTTTGAATGTGACATTGACTTTTTTTGGCATAGCAGCAGAGTTGTCTGTATTAAAATGTATTTATAAAAAAATATATCTATTTTTTGTGGAATGAAAGTAGGATTCTAGTTAATACACCACTGGGAAAATGTTAGAAGCATTTTTACCAAGTTAATTTCTAATTCTTTGTACTTGTTAGTTACCTGATTTGTTTGCTAGGAGAACATCCACTGTGGCCCATCCTGTGGCAATGCAATGCACTGTCGTGCAGAGAATCTGGTTTTCAGAAAACTGGGAGTCTTTTGCTTCCCTTTGGGACAGTAGGGAACTGAGTAGTTCACCAGGAATAAAAGGAACCTTGGCACGGAATCCACTTCTGTGGCTTTGGCTTCAGTCCCTAAACTGACTTATTGCAGATAGATATGTAGAGAGAGCAAAGATTGAGACTTCAGGATAAAAAAAAAAATTAGATGCTACAATTTAGTCTTCCTGTAGGAGAAGGAGAGTCCTAAAATTAATTTATACAAGGATTAAATAGGGACTGCACTTGCTTAAATTGATTTCATATTGGCAGCTTAGTCATCCATGTGCATACTAGGGAATATGCTTAACTTTTTCCATTACCTTGGAAAATGGTTCAAAAACATGTCACATCCGTTAGCAAGTGTTTCTTCTCCTGTAACAAATTGCAAAATGTAAAAAAAAAAAAAAAGAAATAAATTATTGATCCTAGAAATGAGGGTGATTGTCTGTTTTGTTTAATTATTTATATTAGCACACGAAAAACATTCACACTTTCATTTCAGATCCCTTCCATCAATATCTGAAGTCCAGCTTTGTGCAAATGTATGTAACCAGCTTCACTTTTTGGTGGTTGTAAACACGGGGAAACTCTGCAGTGGTTTGGGTTGTTATGTGAGTAAAACCATCACATTAAAAGTGTTTAAATGGGATTCAGCTTTCAGATTGGGAAAATATCTTGGGGTGTAATTAAAAGAAATTAATATTGATTACATTAATGGAACCAGCTGCTTAGGCTGTAATGAGGTGTACTGGGGTAATTCCACCTTGATGGCTTTGATATTTCAGTCAGAAATTCCTGGGAATATCTCTATTTCTCTGTGAGCAGAACAATTTACCAACTCTCAGAGGAAAAGAAGTAGAATGTTTTTGTTTGAAAACATCTTCTATAATTAATTTTGATTCCACAGGATTACTGGGGGCTCCTTAATAACACAGGATCCCGCAGTGTGTGCTGAAATTTGAGGAAGAAATGTATTAATCCAAAGCTTTACCTTTTGGATTATTACTTGGAGCTGCATGAAACACTTGGACTGAGCTCTGCGATGAGGTGGATACCTGAGCACAGGTTTGGAATGTGACTTTTTCAGCTGAAGATACACTTTGAGTCTGACATCAGTTCTCTTACAAGCTCTCCCAAATCAGAGGCTTTGCCTGTACCTGTTCTCTGTGGTGAGATGTTATCTCCTGCTTAAACTTCCTCTCAGAATTACCTGAACAACTGGAAACATCAGGTCTATTTTCTTAGAATTCTTGATGCTGATTTCACTGAATACCTAAAGAGAAGAGAGAGCAAAATCAGTGCTGGTAAATCTAATAAGGCAGGTTAAGCTCTCTGATTTTCATGCTCAAGTATAATTACCTGGACTTGATTAGAAATCTTCTGAGATTGAAAAGAACCTTAAAAAAAAATCCAAATTTTATTCCTGTGGAAACTCCTCAGTGTTAAATATCTGCCAAAAATATACTACATTACCAATGCTTTTTCTTTTTTTTTTTCTTTCCCCCCTCTTTAGCTGGTATGTCAGCCTCATTTATTAATAAATATACCTAATCATCCTGGAGATGTTCTCTGCTTTTCCTCAGATTCTTATTTCTTATGGCATTTGCTTAGTTATTGTGGCAAATCTTAAGTGTTCACCCCATGTTTCTATTTTATTTGTCATTGTTCAAGGGCATTCATCTATCTATAACTTGCTTTCCCTTAACATTTCTTACTTGTAGGAAGAACACTTCTCAGTGATAAAAGTACTCCAAGTTCCTCAATTTTTCCCTGTAGAGACAATGTATCTTATTTTAGAGATTACTGAAGTCTCTCATTGCATGCTAGGATAAACCGAAAGTATTTATTCTCCCTATTTAAGTCCACAAAAAGGAGTAATTGCTTTACAGAGATAATTTTTTTTCCTTAACCAGTGCTGTACAAGAACTTAAAATAGGAGGTGAAATCATACTGGATAATGTATTTTAATTAAAACTACAAAGAGAATTAAGGTAGGTAGAGCATAATTGCAGTTGGATGATTCCCAGCCATTATTTTGAAAACTGACATGGGACCTTAAATAACAAAGGCCTGTGTTATTTAAAAATAATTTAATTATTCTAGGGGAGGGCGTAAACCATGTTAATGAAGCTGCATATGAAAGTAGCAAGAAATAAAAACAGGGAAGTTCCAAACAGCAATAGAGAAAACACATAATTAAATTTACTTTATGAAAGGAAGATAACACAGATGGGAGAGAAGAGTTCTAAACATCTTCAGTTCTTCCTCTGGGATGACAGGATGAATCAGAAAAGGGGAATAGCAAACTGAATAGATTAATATAAGGAAGAAATTCTTCCCAGTGAGGGTGGTGAGGCTCTGGCACAGGTTGCTAAGAGAAGTTGTGGCTGCCTCATCCCTGGAAGTCTCCAAGGCCAGGTTGGATGGGTGTTGGAGCAACCTGGTCTAGTGGAAGGTGTCCCTGCCCATGGCAGAGGATGGAATGAGATGAATTTTAAGGTTCCTTCCAACCCAAACCATTTTATAATTCTGTACATATTTTATAATCTTTCTATTTTATCTATAAAACAGTTATTTATTCCAGATGACAAATTATTGGGATTTGCTAGTTTTACTGTTTTTGCTGGCACAGTTATGCTCACAGCTCTACTTCTTGCACTTCCTTGGCTATAGAAGTGTGTGCAGCTTTTGTTTATCCAGTGAAGGAAAGGCAAAAACTGGAGTAGAAAAGCTTGGGAAAGGGAAACATCTGGCAGTCAGGGGTAAAACTTTCTGTAGAATCTCAAACTGGTAAAATGCATTTCCTTGCCCACGCAGCCAAGTGGAGAAGTGGGTGTACAAACCCTGTTTCACCTATGAAAGGTGCTAATGTGCCAGACCTGAAAGCTAGAACTATCTAGAACCTCTTTTTAGTTAAAAAACTCCCAACCACCAAAACCAAAGCTCAACCCCAAACCCTGTTTTTATGAATGATGTGAAGGGCACTGTGCACCATCGTTCTGCTAATGTTACTCTCCACAATGGCATTCAACTGGCTTTGAAAATCATGTTTTTATTTCCCAAATGCATTCCTTACCACCCTGATCTATAATTGTCTAATTAAGCCTGCTGACTGCTTTGATGTCTGTACAGGTTCATAAGTCAGGAGAACAGAGGGTTCACTATAACCCCTAAAATTAAAGTGTGTGCAGAGACCTGAGTAAGTAAGTTCAGAGGAATCAAACTCTCTACCCCAGACACACAAGACTCTCTTAGCACTGAGATCTCACATTTAAAGGATGTTCCCCCACTGGAATTCATCAGCTGGCATTGGTCACAACCTAAATTTGAAATAACAGTGCAGAAGTGTTCTTTGCAGCTGACAAACACATGGATATGCTTCCTGTGGTTGGCTGGCAAGATGTTTGGAGGAAACACAAGCACAACTGTTACCACTCAGATAACTTTAAGAACTATTATTTCAGCCAATGTTTAAATTTCTGTAAGATATGTTAAAATGAGAAAGATAATTTCCAGCCAAAGCAAAAATCTGCACTTTTTTTTTGCTTTTAATGCCAAATAAGTATCACAGTTTTCTCCTTAGATTAACTGGTACAAAATATTTTTTCCATCTTTTTTTTTTTTTTTTTTTTTTTTTTTTGTTTTAAAGTTGGTCTAGAGGGAAGGGTAAATATAATTAATGCCTTAAGTAATCCTTTAGGCCTGGTGCCTCCAACAGGCCCAAACACGTTGGGCTTATTCATGTGGTTGAAATTAAATTCTTCAGTTGCTTCCTGAGGAGAAAGATCTTGAATTCTTTGTTCATCCAAATGATGTGAATTCCCTTCCTCGGTGTTTTTGTGACTGATGTGCTTCTACCTGAGCTCTCAGTGGGTCTTGGTGCATCCCCTCATGACAATCACAATCCATCCACCCTGCCTGGGCTGCTGCTGCTGTAATTAATTTCCTGGTGCCAATTGCGTGAGTAAGGAATTTGAGTCATGTGACTAATTAAGGTCTTTGCTGCTCAGCCAGGCCTAATTGGTTCTGTCAGGAATAAATCTTTAATGGTTTCAACTGGGCCTCTTCTCTACCCAGGTCAAAACTGGATCGGTTCAGAGCAGGATTCTTCCGTTCATCTGAGCAGCAAAATGGCTCTGGGGTGAACTTACTGTGGCCTTTCAGTACCTAAGGGAGCAACAAGAGAGCTGGGGACGGGATTTGGACAAGGGCCTGGAGTGACAGGACAAGGGGAAATGGCTTCAAACTGAGAGAGGGCAGGGTTAGGTTAGATATGAGGAAGAAATTCTTCCCTGTGAGGGTGGTGAGGCCCTGGCACAGGTTGCCCAGAGAAGCTGTGGCTGCTCCATCCCTGAAAGTGTCCAAGGCCAGGTTGGACAGGGCTTGGAGCAACTTGGCCTGGTGGAAAGTGTTGTAATGAGATGGTCTTTAAGGTCCCTTCCAATCCAAAGCATTATGTGATTCTGTGACAACAAAAGGCAAAAAAATCATCGTTATAAAATGCTGAAGTTGCTCACCCCCGTGAGGGAGATGGTGTCATGTTGGTGGCTGTTTGCTGGGATCTTGCAGTTCATAGTCCTGTTAACATTTGTTACATTGATATCTGGTACGTGAGATTTTTCATGTACTAGCTGAATGAGAGCCCCTAGGGAAATAAATCCCACATGCTGATAATTTTCAGTAATTTCAGTATTTTCCATGCAAACAAATATTCTTTGTGCCTGTTCGTCTCTTTGAACCAAAAAAAAAAAAAAAGGTACTTTTCTGCTTCTAAACAGACTGCATTTAAATTTTGTTCTGTGAACTAATTCCACCATTCCTTATTTTAGTAGTTCTACATTAAATTTGTGCTGTGACCACGCATGGGAAATGCTTCATTAAAGCTTCCTGTTACGTCATTGTAGGGAGGGAATGCATGGTGAACCAGACACTACCGAGTGTTTTGGGTTTGTTTGTGTTAGACTAGAAATGGATTAGTGGGTCAGAAAAAGCTTACATTACATGAAGTGTTTTTGTTTTCGATGTTTAATAGTCTAAACACAAACATTTATACACAGATCTGGATGTCTGAAGTGTAAAAATGGAGCAGCAGTCCTGGTAAACTAAATTCTGGAATCCAAATATTTGTTCCAGACAGTAATTTAGACTTATGTGAAAGTGCCAATAAGTCAGTTGCACTTTTCAAGCTTTGTGTACGAAGTTAGAGATGCAAAGTAAAACTGATGTGATGTTTAGTGGTTTATCTGTGCCATAATTCCTGTTAATCACTGTTGGGTTTAAGTAGCTCAGTGCTGTGCCAGGGGCGTGAAAGACTGAGCAGAGAGATGAACGGGTCTGAGAACTGTCTCAACAAAAGCAAATGAATGTTCAGGGGTGATGGTTGTATAACAAGAACAGGAAAACAGGGGAGGCAGAAATGTTTACTTTAGCCAGAAGTCTTGTAATGGTCAATTTGGGCTCATGACAAGAGAAAAGAGCTTCAAAACAGTGTTCCAATATAAACTGTTATTTGAATTTTTTGAAGTTTAAATTAAACATGTTATAAAAAAAAGGTTAAATTAATAAATCCTAAACTTTAGAATGCAAATTTTTCCTAATCATATGTTGGAGAGGGCAGCAGTGAGCACTTTCTTCTATTTGGTAATAAGATATTTTTATGGTAATTAGACTTAAGGTTATTTTTTTCTCCTAGACAGGTTTGCATAATGTGTTTAGAAGAGGCTGATTAAGCAAACACCATTAGCCTTGGACTGGGAAAACTTCATTCTTTCCTTCCTTTCTCCCTCTGTTTTCAGAGTGCTACTTAAAATGGAATTTAATGCAAATGTGTCTGAAATAGATTTGCAGTGTGTGCAAAATACTTATTTTATGGTAGGTACAAAGTAAGGTGTCACCAGCTCTAGGAGCTCTCAGAAGATGTGCTATCAATCTGTCAAAAGTTATTTTAAAAGTAAAAAATAAGGATTGCACAAGATGAGGGTTATTCTTGTATATAAAATAAAAGTAGATCAATTAATGTATTTGTTAGCTTTCTCCTTTTTTTTTTTTTTCTTTCCTCTTGTACCCATATTTCAATGTTTTGGTTTTTTTTGTCTCTACCTAAACTACTAATGCTAAACTGAAGCAAGACAATAAAATTCCAGATGTAGGAGCCTGGAGTGGAGCAGGAAGGGAAACCCAAACCCAGACAATTTATATTATTCAATAACTTGCAGTCTTGTTTGTTTGTTTTAAACATGCCTCTTTTCTAATAAAAGTCATCACAGTCTGATCATTCTTCAGAGCCTTATCAGCAAGAAAAATATAAAATGCCATCTGACACTCTAGATTTCTCCTCTGTTTCTTCCTCCCCTTCCAGCTTGTGATCATGTGTGTGGTCACAAGTGTGGAATATATTGGTGCCTCTGAGGGAATGGCCATGCCTGTCAATCACAGGCCGTAAAGGATATGAGTGACACACAAGAATTAACAAATCATGGATGAGTTGCTATGCCCATAAATTATAAATCTTTAACATGGAAAAAGGAGTTTAGCTTTTCTTGCTTTAGAATCTGCAAGTCTGGAATTCCTTTAGCAGATATTTATCTCAGCTTGATAACGTGTTGTCCAGATTCATACTGTCAGTTTTGATGGATTTTTTCACGTGCCATGCATTTGCTCTAATCATAAATATTTTATTACAATTTTGCCATGTTTTTGGAGCAATGAACTATCCCAGTGCTCTTCGTCTGGTGTGTTCTCATGTGTTTTCTTGTTGTCTCCCTCTGCCAAATACAAAACATTGGGAATGTTGTTAATTCTGATGGGAATATCTTGCAAAGGCCTGTTCTATACATTGGCCATGGTGTGGTTCATTGTGTGCTACTCGGGAGGGGTTTCTATAAGGAGTTTAAAAAGTGTTTAACAAGAATTTGATGCAAATAGTGATTGAAAGTCATTGAGAACTGAGCATCTCGCTCCCTCAGGGTTCTGAAAATGTCGATCTGTGTCACAACTGTTTGGTGTTTGCAGTGAAAGGCTTCTAAATGGACACAGTCTTATCCAGAAAAGTCTTGGAAGGTGTAGGTTGTGGAGTGCAGAATTCCCTCTGGCATCAGCATGGCTGTTGGCTGAAGTTGTGTAACTGAGTTTGAGGAGTCTGAGAGGGTCTGGGTGGTCCTGCCCAGCTCTGGGGGGTCTTGGTGCACCAGTGGAGCCTTCTGTTTAAGGAAGTCAGAGCTTAAAAAACACACAGAGCCAAGGAAACCAACCCCTCAGTGCAAGCCAGATCTGCTGTGAACAGTCAAATATTTGTAGAGAACCTTATTTACCAGTTATTATTATTATAATTATTATTTTTGGCTTAAGGGTGATGTTGACATATTTTAAGGCATCATAGTAGCTGTGTGCTGCAGGGCCCCAGGGGTACAAAACCACTGCCTGAGCACAGGGCATCCTGTATTAGGATGAATATTTATTTGATGCTCCTTTTAAAAAAAAAAGGTACCTAGGATAATATTATCCCTCTTACAGTTTATACTTGGTATTTATTTTTAAGTTGGTAATCCTTAAATTACGCTGAATATATATTATATATTATATATTATATATTATATATTATATATTATATATTATATATTACACAGTGTGTATGTATATATATGTGTTGTATATATAGTATTATATATATACTGTTACATATATAGTGTTATATATATACACTCTGTATATAGTGTTATATACATATTCACTGTGTTATATACTATTTTATATATGCTGTATATAATACACATATATAGTGTATATAATACTATATATAAAACACTATATATATACATAGTGTTTTATATACATATAAATACTGTTTAGCAGCTTTACACTTACTGTGTGCTTTAAGTTTACCACTTAATATTCACATTTATTTTGACATGGGATACTTCGTTTTTTCCTTATCTCTTTACCTAAATGTTAGGATGGTCAAGAACTGATTCCCCAGCTCTAGTGTGTTTGTATAACTCTCATCCTGCTGTTTTTCGTTGTTTTTTTTCATGGACCAGCTTGGCCAACCTGACTGTGTTTCTTCAACTGCGTATTCTCTTTGCAGGAGGCCAAGGAAGAGGAGCTCGAGTCAAGTGGGGATTTCTTGGTAGTTGCGTGAGGGATTACAAAGCTGCATCACATGTGCTCTTCCTAAGTCGTCTTTATCCGTCTGCCCCTAATCTGATTTTAAGTCTGGGCTAGTAGGCACAGCTGAGGGTGTAGATTTGGACCTGGGTTTGGCATCGGTCTGAGTGGGCAGTGCTCCCACCTGGCTGCGGGACAGTGGCTAATTAAACCTGCATGTCTGTATTTTAGCAATTCCATCTCTCTCTTCTGTCCTTGGTAATTCCTCCCCTGCTTTTCCAGAGTGTAAATGACCCAATCTGACTCAAATCTTGACCTCCTTGTTTCAGTTTGAATTAACATAGTCTGTGATTGGAGATCATGGAATCACAGAATGGGTTGGGTTGGAAGGGACCTTAAAAATCATCTCGTTCCACCCCCTGCCACGGGCAGGGACACCTTCCACTAGGCCAGGTTGCTCCAAGCCCTGTCCAACCCATCCCCAGGGATGGGGCAGCCACAGCTTCTCTGGGAATCCTGCCATTCAAGGCACTGATATTTTTTTGGCTTCTAGAGTGTTTTCTTCAGAACGTTCCTGCTCCAGATCGCTTTGGGTTTAGATTGCATCACTTGAAATAAAACTGGTTTATTTTGTTTCATAAGCAGCACCTTTGGAAAATCAGAGGGAGAAGAGTGTTCCTGAGAAACTGGCTACTGGAATACCTTACTTTAGTTCATGGTAGGAAGTAGACATTATCCTAATGCAAGGGCTGGTTCAGCTGGTTCAGTACTGTAATAAATCACATTGGATATGTTGGATGCAGCTGGAAGTTAAACTAGAGATGCTCTCTGGATTTGGATAACTGCAGCAATTATTGTTCTCTTTTTATTAGCATTTTTAAAAATCTTCATTTAATGGTTGAATAATTCATGTTACTGTTCAGCTTATGAGGCAAAAGACAGAAGAATGAATAGGAATAATTTCTAGCCAAGTAAAAATTCTACTAAATAGTTTTTTCTTTTTTATTAAAAAAAAGCAGAATTTAAAATTTCTTTTTAAATACAGTAAAACTTACATATTTTTCACTGAAGTATATTTGTTGCTTTGGTTTAGTCTGTCAGCAGCTTGTCCTCTATCTTCTAATACTTACAGAATTTTCAGTTCACATTCTTGTTTACCAAAACCCAGAACTGCTTTCAAGGGGACTGTAACTGTTTTAACATGTAGATTTTTTTATTTTGAGTGGTCTGTGGTGGATGATGTTGCCGTCATTGGCTCCAAGAAATAAGTTAGATTGTTGTGTGCTGTGAGTTCTGTGTTCATTTGCAAGCAGCTTTCATTAAAGAAAAAAAGAAAAGGAAAAAAAAAGTCAGTAATTTGTTTTCCTCTTAAGAGTCGCTTGTTTCTGGAAGATGCAGAAGATGAGTGACTTGATAAAATGGTGTTGACAAGTTCAGCTGTTAACAATATTATCTTTAAATAGTATTTTAAATTTTTTTTTAGTGTCTGTCTGTAGAAAATTATTATAGTAAAGCTACATATCCTGCGGGCGAGTTCTGGAAAAAAGATTATTCTTATTCCCATGGACACGGTCTCAGCTGACATCAATCAGATAGGGAAGTGTGTGATGGTTAGGACTGGATTTTGACAAAATAATAATAATAATAATAATAATTAGGTTGGCACGTGGTTCACATCAGTGCTATAGGTTTGGATCCAGGATTACTTAGGTAGGCAGGAGACACTGTATCCAATTCCATAAAGGCAGAGTACAGGGTGGTGAGCTGGAGGTCGGGTACATTTCCATGTGGAGTTCCGTTTGGGATGGGGATGTTGCTGCTGTTCTCCAGCTGGCAGTGAGAGGGGAAACACTGGGAAGACACTGGGGATGATGAAATGAGGACAAGGGGATCCACAGCAAGGCTGTCGTCTTTTAGCTCCTCCCAGAGATTCCCTACAACAAAACAAAACATGTTGATTAATGGAATGATTAATATCTCTTCATATGATGTCTGTATACATTTCTATATATTCAGTTTTTTAAACATTGTGTTGCAGGAGAAGTTGGTAATTAAACAGTTGTATGTGCTTTATGTGTAGGTGCTCTTAAAACCTTGGGATTGAGGAAGAAAAAAGGTTGTTTAGGTAGTTTTTGTTTGTCTGTCTCCATAATGAATTTAAATTTGGGAGAAAGCAGCATACATTTAAGAAAATTATTTCACCTGGTAATTTGCAATATTCTGTTAGAAATGTATATTTATGAAGAATAACTTCTATTCTTTAAAGGAAAACATTGATTTTGGATAAGGAAAGTGCCTCTCATCTCTATAACATATGGAAGATATGGGATTATACTTAGCCCTGTTGCTAGAAGTAGTGTGCAGGCCTTATCTTAAGTTTTAGGGCCTCCAATTAGAGATTTGATCATTTTATAAAGAAAGAAAGTAAAAAGCATAGATAAGGTTAAATAATTTAAGATAAAGGGCTAGGCCAGAGGGAAGGTGGAGTGGTACCATACTGATGAAGCACATTCACACCACCAGAGCATGTGCTTCAGATTAATTGAATAAAATGGAAAGAGGTCCCAGGAAACGAGTGGAGTGTGGTGTCAATCTCACTAGAACAATCTGGGCATGGCAGGAGTGGGAGATATTTGTGACAGTGGGATGGATGGCACTGGCATTCGCTGAGTCATGTAGATTATTGAAACGGCATTTTTTTTTTGCTCTGTCTTTTAGGTTGATTTATGTAACCGCTTTTTGTTTGTGCAGGAAGGAAATTCTGGTATGTTATTTGGTGCAACAGGAGCTTTATAATTTGGAACCCACAGGATTTGATTTATATATATGTGTATATATAAATGTATATATATTCATTATAAATTTACATATATATTTACACACATATATAATGCGTGTATATGTATATATATAAAAATACATGGTGGGTTTTTTCCTTGGTTTTGCATGAAAAGCTGTGTTCTTAATGTTCAAAATCCCACCCAGCCAAGATGATTCAATTATTTAATATATAAAAAATTACTGTCAGCATTACATAATTAAGTATGTGAGAACACACCTCAGGAAGTATAATTGTTCAGGGCACAAGTCAGATGATGCCTCAGGAAGGGGGAAATAACATTTGTTGGAGCAGAGATGTGGAAAGTGTTTGAATAAATACTGATGAAAGAAGTTAACCTGTTAATTTGATAAACATTATTTCTCTTATTTCCCTTCACGTGACAATTCTTTTGTAAGAATTGCACTAAATAGTTGTGCTTGAGTACTTTCCAGTGGAATATATATCTGAATTAAAAAAATACATTCTAAATACTGTATTGCAATACTTAATATTGGCAATTGTAGCCAAGAGGAAGCAGGAATGTTTTTTAAACTCTGAATGTAAACAGGTGGCTTTCTTGGGAAACTTTTTAAAGATTTAATGCAATATTGCATGTTGTGTGTATAATGTAACCTAGTTAAGGTGTTTTTTGTAGCAGTGGCAAGAAGTAGTATTTAAAAAAGAAGGTCACGAAGGGTTGGTAGGTGATGGGTTGGGATGTGATGGGAGGTGATGGGATGTAATAAGCCTGACTCTACAAGATAAAAATACTTTAGATACCAACCTTGGAGATCAAAATCAGTTAGGGATGGATTAAGAGCATCGATGTCATTGCTGAGGTCTCCCTCCGGCATGAGCGTGTCCTGCACTGTCCTGGCTGTGGAATGCTCCGGCAGCATCTTCATCCCACAGTTTGGGGGGGTCTGCGCCGGCAGCGGGGAGTCCTGAGTGAGGCTGGGCTGAGTTCGGAGCTCGCTTTGAGCCTCCCCTGAAGGAAACAGGCTCTGAGCGTCCGGTGTCTGCTGCATCAGTGCATTTGGGATTTGGGGGAAGCCCTGTGGGGATGTGTAGCACGGAGGCTGCTGCCCCCCCAGTAAATTGGGTAAAGCGTTCTTGGCATGCAGAGCTCCCGAGGCGTGGATGCTGTGTAATGGCTGTGGGATCCCGGAGGAGAGGGAGGGCTCGCATAAGGAATGGGATTGGGCTGCCATCTGCCTGGAAAGTGAGGCACCTGCAACGCCCGTCGGGCTGCAGGACATGAGGGAAGATCTCAGCTTCTCGCTCTTGTCGCCTATCAGGGTGTCAAGTTCTTCTGGAAAACAAGAAAAAAGTCCATGGTGAAACTTCTTTGCTTATTTGGAAATATCTACAAAACGAGGTCTTGTTTAATTCTGCTTTCTAATTTTTGTTTTCTTGTTTTGCCAATCACCTTATAACCAGGAAAAATCCTGAAATGCTTTCCTAAGTCACGTATTAATTCTCTTATACAGTTTGGTGCCTGCTACAAAGAAAAGTTCTCGGCAGAACTGTTTGAGAAGTGACACATTACTGACCTGGCTTTGCCATACTCTTCCTTACAGCAACTGGATCTTTCCTCTTCCATTTCTGTAGCTCCTCCTGCATCTTATCAATCTTGGCTGGATTCAGAGCCCACAAACAGCCTTTCCGAGAGGAATTGCCTGACTTGTTTTCAACTTTCTCAAAGCACTTGTTCAAAGATAAGTTGTGGCGCACAGAATTCTTCCAGCCATCTGGAGCTGTCTGGAGAAACAAATCCAGTGTAAGAATGGGACTTGAAGGACAAATAAAAAAATAAATATGTATATCTCTGTTTTGGCTGGTGAGGTTGTAAGAAATGCTGTTTAGTTTGTACCTTCTGCCATGAGAAACTTGTACGTTAGAAGGAAGCCACAAAAATGTTACCGTCATGTTGTGTGGGAAGAGAGGGATCAGATAGAACAGTAACTGATCTGAGCAAAAAGGTTGTCAGAGGCCTGCTGGATTTTTAAGAGTGAATTTGAAAATCACAGGAATTAAGTGTCTAAAGAATTATATTCTAGAGCTGTGAGCTAACAGGATTTCTATCGGAATCTGTTTTGGAACACCGAGAAATATTTCAACATTTAACTAAAGCACTACGTGCTACCTGGACTCTAATTCAGTGTCCAGGCAGACTTCAAAAGAATTTATCATGCTCCTGTAGGTGTAACTTTGTGTGCTGGCCAATTACATAACCAAATGGTTTAATCACAAGCCCTACAGACGAGATACAGGTTTCCACATCTGATCACTGCATCTCTGTGCTTTGCATTTATTTTTAACTCAGCAGTGGCAGCTGGGAGGTTCTTTAAACTGAATCATTAAAATGATTATTTTCTTGTTTCGAAAAAAATATCCTCATCTCTGTGTCATAAGAATTGAAAGAAATTAAACAACTCTCTGAAAGGTGGGTGAAGTTGTCTTTGTCTATTGATTCATATTCATGGATGCAAAATATTTGTCATCGTAACTGTTTATATCAACACAGAGAATTATTGAACAGAGAGCACAAGAAATAAATATGGGTTTCCATAGTATTTTTTAAAATGTTAAAAATTAAAATTCCCCTTTTATGTGTATTAAATTTTCTTTGCATTCTTATGCTTTATTAGTAGGGATCCATCTTGCATAGAAAGTCAGATTTTGGATAGTTTGATAATCTCTTTAGTTGTTGCCTAGTACAAGAAACTTCCTCTAAGACTATCTTTTATAAATGGAGTTCTGTCCATTTTTGCTTTCACATGATACACTGTGAAATTTTGAACATACTTTGATAGAAATTCTTTAATCAGAATTTTATTTTCTTATCTACTTTTATCAGGAATGTAGAGTCTGTTCTCTTGTAGCTTGTAAAGAACTGTCATGTGAGTTAAGGCATTAAAAGCCTTATTGAAGGGCTGAGGGTCAAATTTAATATTGATTTCTTCATTAAAAAAAAAAGGTGTGGAATTAAATACGTGTTATTTACTAAAAGAGAAACTATTCTCCTTTCATAGCAGCAGAGTTTCTACCCTTTTGGCCCACCTGATGTCAGCATTTCACTATTCTGTCTCAGAGGTGAGACAGCATAAATTGTATTTAAAAAAAAAAAAAAAGAAAACAAACTCAAACCCTTTAAAACCCTTTCTGCCATAGGGTCATACTAAACATGATGAATCAGTTTTTCTCCCTTGCAGGTCATATTCAAGTTGCTTTCTGGCAATTCCAAAAGTGAATAGAACTGTTCCTCCCAGGTAAGTTGTGTGTTTAGCCACTGAATAAGCTGACCTGAAAGAATATTCATGTTTCTTGCCCTGCACACGAGGCTACACACACCTTTGTCTGTATCTAGACAGGATAATTAGTGTTTCTGCTAAGATGGGAGCGGCATGGGTTTCTCAGAGGTTTTCAGAACATGTGGGGGTGTAAACTGTGAGATGGTTTTAGAAACGTAAGAGCAAAAAGTACGTGGATTGATTTTGGAGGCTGCTCCCAGGAGCCCAACAGGTTCTTGCATTAAACTTGGCATTGCTGACCTGCGAAAAGTTTATCCAGGCAAGGCTTGAAGGAACACTCAGTGTGTTTGTGCTATGACTCTGGCACTGTTTTTTTTAAGTGAATGTGATTGTTCATGAGGGAGCTTTGGTTACTGAAGTTGCTCTTGTGTAGTTGGAATCTCCTTGCTGTGGCTTGGTTTTGATGTTGCTGCGTTTCAGCATAGTGTGGATGAAGCTGTAGAATCATAAAATCATAGGATCACAGAATCATTAAGGTTAGAAAAGCCCCCTGAGGTCACTGAGTCCAACACTGCCAAGGCTACCACTGACCCAGGTTCCCAAATGCCACATCTGCAACGCTTGAATACTTGCTGCTCTAGGTTCCATCAGACCACAGACCTTTCTGGCCTCTTTGACCACTGGCACTAATTCCAATTAACAAGATTAAAGCTTTCTTTTAGACCCACTAATCACTACAAAGAAAAAGATGACAAAAAATATTTTTTGTCCAGCCCCACGGATCCTGACCAGCTCTTGAAGTTTAAAGAGTTCAGTCATCTTGCAAAACCCTTTCTCTTTAAATCTAGGTCTCAAGAGAAGGGAGAGGTACATCAAAGGGTAATTCAACTTTAGCTGTGTAGATGTTTTTTTTAGGACGTAGGAGTTGGATTGCTCTGTTTCAACTAGAAATGAAATTGTTGCATCACAGAAACTAAATTTGCTGTGGCAGCGAATACAAGTTAATTTGACTCGGCTTGTATCATCTAATGTCTCCCAGCAAGATTCTGTGTACAATTGCACTCTCTTTTTCTCCAACTTAAATTGCTTCTCCTCTCCCTGTTGTATCCTGCTAGTTAGTGAGTGCTGGTAGCAACGACAAAATGTTCTTTGCTGGTCTTTATATTATTTTATCTTGCTGAAGACTCTCCAAAAAAAGGATGATAGAGGGTATCAGTTTTTGCCATATATTGATAATTCTCTGGGCTGCTGTAAAGGCCAGAGGTAGACAGGACTTAATGCCTGTGGGTGTAATATTCGATTTTTTTATTCTCCCTTAGTCATTTTAAGGATGTTACAGTCAAATACTTTTGACTGTATTTGTAAGTGAAATGCAAAAATAAATGCAAAAATAGTGAATGTTCCCTTTGTACCCGTTGTACCAAGTATTACCCCCTGCACTATTCTTTCCCTGTAATCCATATGACAACAGCAACCTCGTTCTCATCTACTTTAAAATGAATTAAGAAAAAGACAGGGAGCTCTGAAAAACCACGAAGGACCAGGATGGTGACACCTGGCAGAGCCACACTCCTGAGTCTGAAGGATTCTGTCCATGTTGGCAGCAGCAGCAGCAGCATTTTGCTTGAAGCTGCTGATTAACTTTTATAATCAATTATGTTGTAAGACAACGGAGAATTAATTTCAGTTTGGTCTGATGAATAAACATGAACATGCCTGTAAAAATTATTAATAATATTCCCATCTCTCTGCTTGAAACTCTTGCTGTTTTTCTTTGGATTCCATTGGCATTGAGTACTTCTGATTTCTGATGCTAGGTGTCTTCATATTTTCTCCCTTCTTTTGCTTGTAAAAAATGATGGAGTAATTAGTGATTCTTTTGTGAGGAAATCTGGGAGTACAGAAGTGTGATGGATCCTGACAGTTCTTCCTCCATCATAATGTGTATTTTTCTCTGATTACTGACAGATTCAACCTTATTATTATTTTTTTTTTTTGTGCACAGAATTTATTGGTTGAATTGCTGCAGGGCTATTTGCAAGAGGAAACAGGACAGACTCACTTGCTTTATTTTAATTTTTGGGCCTTGCTAACAGCTGAGGTCACCTGCCCTGGACTTCAGCGAGACGGTTTTGAAGAATCAGCAGAAATAAAGCTCCATGTAGATCAGCAGGTGATGATTCCATTACAGCTCTTTTAAAAATCTCAACTAATCCTCCTGCTCTTGGATCATTTGCTGACTGAGCACTTTCCACTCGCATTCCAAGCCCAGGGAACCATTCCCTTATAGCATGGATTTAAATTTCAATAGTGCTGCTGCAAACCATACACCCTTCCCGTCACCAACGTCATGGTGTAATTATGAGCTTAGTACCATTTATCATATATTAGACTTTTCTTGGTACAGGGCATGCAAGTGATGCTGTTGCCCAAGACGGATATCCCAGCTCCAGAATGCAGTGAGATAACCTGGAACCTCTGCTTCCACACCAGTCTGGAGGTGCTGCTGATGGCAGAGGAAGCTACAAGACCAGTTCTGCCTGTATTTGAGATCTGAGAGGAAGGAGTGAATGTGTTTTGAAAATTATTCACCCTTTTTATGAGTTGTTAGTGAGGAATGGCCACTGTTATACACCCAGACTCACAGCTGGAACAGTTCTTAATATCTTTTTGAGTTAAATATTACCACATTTCTTCCTGCATGTAAAATGCTGGGTAGTTTGTGATCATGAATGTATATAGTGTGTAATTGATTTGATATTAATCTCCTAAGAAATTATCCCTTTCCATAGCTGGAATCCCATCCCTTATTCCCTCTGCTGACAGGTAAGCTTAGAGGGAGATTCCCCCCCCTCCCAGTGGAACTCACCTTAAAGTAAGGAAAGTGTTCCGTCATGAAATTGTAAATCTCACTGACTGGCAAACTCCCTGTCTTGCTGTTTTTGAGAGCCATGAAGATCAGGATGCTTTAGGGAGAAAAAGAAAAGCATTTTAGCCTCTTCTGCTTGACTCCTCAGAACCAAAAGTAGACTATTTTCCAAACTGTGTGTAATGACTGCAACTTTCACTGCCATAGCACAAGTACAGTGATGCTTAAAATTTCCACTTAGTTGTTTATAACAATCTCCTTACACTGTGTAACTTCTACAGGTAATTCTCAAAACTCATATAGAAGTTCTAACCTGAGTTTCAAATAAAGTAATATAGAAAGTGAAATCAAGACCTTCAAATCCTGCTGGTGGGTATTTATCTAAGGTGTGTCTGAAAACTTAAACTGGTGAAGGCCACACAGAGTATCAAACTGACAGTGACAGATGGGTAATTAAAATTTAATTGTCTGATCTACTTTGTTAGATTATTTGGGGTCCAAAACTGTGTGATGACTGACATATCTGGTGTGTTTTCTAGGCATTTCCTTGCCTTAGCAACTGGAAAAAAATAGTTCTAATACAGGTGCTAGGAAAGGCAACAAAGTGGGATCAGTCTTGTGCTGATGGCGTTTGTAAAATTTTGTATTAAAGAAACATTTAGGGATTTTTTTTGGGGGGGGGGTGATCAAGACAATGCTTTGCAACATTTAATTTCTCTGTGCCTTGGCCCCAGAGTCTGGATCATCTTGATTCGTGCGAACAGGACAGAACACACCGGGAACAAGACAAATAAGAGTAAGCGTGTTATTGCAAACGATGCTGGAACCAGGCCATGGGTAAACAGTGCATTTCCTGTAACATGAGGGCTTGAAGAAATATTGTATTACCTGTAGGAGTAGATGGGCTTGGGAAACAGAGGTTGCTGGGATTCTTGACTGCTCTGAGGAGCGATTCTTTGGTAAGGGTAGTGTGAAGAAGCGATGTAAGTCACAGGGTAGCTGCCTCCTGAGGGATACTGATGGGACAAAAGAGATGTTATTTGGCTTAGCAACAAGCTCCCAAAAATATTTCCTGATAACAGTATTAAACTATGTATTTCTGAGGATATTGTGTGGGGAAAAAAAAAAGTACTTTATTCTTTATTGCCTGCCACGCTACTGAGCTCTTGTGAAAAATTATTAATTGTCTCCAGATAACTCTTAATTTTATGGATCTAAAGCATGTCTCCTTTCAACCATCTCTTTTGAAGTTGAAGTATCTCAGTCTGCTCAGCCTCCCCTGAACATGCAGACAAGTAAATTATTGGTGTAAACTTATTTACATAAAAATCCCCAAAACCACCAGAATAAAATACTTCAAACAATGTGCAATATAGAAGAATGAGCCCATCAAGTAAAGCTGCTAAAAATATAGGAAGAAACATTGAAGTTTTGACTGAGCCTTGTTTGATTTTTTTTTTTGTGCTATTTTATTGTTGTTTTATTTTAAGTGGAGAGGGATACAGCAAGGTAAAAATCAGAAGTGAATAATATCTAATCCCAAGGGAATAACATCCCAAAATCTCTGTTAAAATTGCTGTTATTATGCAAGGCAGGGATAAACCTGGCAAACAACAGTGAAAACTTTAGTGGATGCATCAGAATATATAAAAAATGAATGTATTATTATGGAATAAGTTAGTAAGATCATTCCAGGGGTCAGGAGAGCAGCATGTGAGACATTTTTGAGGTGGTTTCATGTTACCTGTCTCATGCTGAAGCTTTGGGCTACTCCCTGTCTGTACCCTCATAGTTAATGCCAAGGAACAGGCATCTCCAAGAGGCCAGGAGTTTGTGTACTATTCACCACCACCTCAAGTGACTCTTTTTTTCCCCTCTCATTTTCTGCATCAGAAAGCTAAAAAGAATAGCCAGGACCCCTAAAATCAGGCACTATTTGTGCCATCCTCACCCCTCCCGGGGACCAGCAGCAGAAGCTACTGAGATGCTGACCTATCTCTTAAGGAGACCTCTAAGCTTGTCCACCTCCCAAGACATACTAAAGAGGTGGGATAGAAATATGCCAATGCCAAAAAGCAGGTGAGAGAGTGGAAATAATCCACATAGATAACCTGGATTGCACCACAGTGTCTGTAGACTTGCTCTCAATTTTTTTTAACACACCAGTTGGTCTTTTTCTTTGCCAAATATTCCATATTTTTTTCTTTTCCAAATTACAGCTTAAGTCTGCTGGCAAGAGACTTTCAAGAACAAAGGAGCACTACCCTGCTCAGGTAAGATAGCATCAGTTGGCTCTCTGGGAGGCAAAAGCTCCTGCTGAACTCAGAGCTCCCTGTGAGGGGAATTTCTGACTCTTACAGATGAACCTTTCCAGATGCCAGGGTGAGGGCATGGCCAAAATTAGGAGTCATGTCACATGCTGTTGAAAAATCTACCTGCATGCCTTCCCTGGTGCTCAAAGGTTGCTGAGCCCTTTTCTGGTGTTTTACTGCTCAGCTCCAGCAGTTCTGTGTCATGAGGTTTGTGTGGTTCCTCTGAAAAATTATAATGTAGCTCTTGAGACTTGTTGGGAAAAATCCCTTTTTAATTAATTTATGCACCTCCTTAGTTTCTTATTGTAATCCCTTTTTTTGGATCAAAAAAAAAAGCTTCATTTGCTCTTGGTCTTTGTCCCCTTAAAACACGCTTGAGAGGTTGTCATGTGCTTGCAAAATATTCATAGTTTATTTACTTATTCTGGATTTTTAATAATTTATTTAAGTTTCTCTGTAATTTTATTCTCATTGCTGGAGTTTTATTGCCTCTTTGCTTTTATCTTTCTAACACTGGACTGCCTGAAATGGAATGTGGAAAACCAGACTGAATATACTCTGTTGTTTGCACGGTGAAAGAAATAAAATGAACATAATTAATTAATATTTTTGAACTAAATATTAGGCAAAAATGGAGTCTCCAGAGGATCTGTGAACTAATTTCCATATGCAGTTCTGTGCTTCCTGCTTTGTGCGTTGGGTGTAGATTTTTCACCAGAGCAGAAAACTGGGCAATTCCTACAATAATTCCGATTTTATTGGTTTTGGTGGCTCTTTGAAAGGAAAGAGTACTAAGATGGGACTGTTTTTGATGTCATCATGAAAGGCAAGACCGGGGTGTTTTAAGGATTATTTCTGTTTTATTGGTTTCATTAGTCCTTTTTGAGGGAGCAAAGGCTGAGGAATGGTCTGGAATGACAGGCTCGAGCTGGTTTTACAGTCGCACAACTGGCATGAAAGGTGTCCGTGTTTTATGGTGGGTGGGTGAGTGACTCCAGTCAGTGTCTGCTACTTCATTCAGGTCAATAACAAGTAATTCCTCTCATGATTCATCACTTGTGTTGTGTCCAGCAAAGGGGAAGGTGAGGCCGCTTTATCATTTGGACAAAATTAATGGAAGGGGTTGATCTCTCTCATCCCTCTAATGAAAACTGAGGCGTAGTTTGAACATCCTTCACTTCAGGCTAAAGGGCCCGTTCTCTGGAGTGTAACCTCCATGGAGATTTAACTTGCACTGCTCCATTCCAATTTGAAATGTAAAGCATTAATCACGGAGCTGCTTCATGCAGAAGATGTTATTCCACTCCTTCTCAGTCTTGTATATCCCATGTATATCCCATTTTCCAGTATCTGATTGCAGCACAGGGACAGCAATTCTACCTGTTGGGACTTTGGCTGCTTATACTTTTTTTTTTTTTCCTCTGAGTAATAGAACACATTGCCAGACTTTTACCATAGTAACATTCAGAAGCACAAGTATTGGAAAGTCCAACAGAAACCTGCTGCACGTAAGAGATCTGTCACGGTGCCAGCTTGCAGGTGGATGGAAGACTTTCCTCTTAGTGCCTGTTGTATCTTGCCTGGTGGCTCCCAGGAAGCGTATTTCAGCTTTAATTTTGGAGGTTTTTTGAGTGTGGTTAGTGCCAATGTATAGTAATAGCACTGGTATCACATCAGAGGGGACAGGGGAAAGGTGCATGCTTCAGAGTGAATAAAGAGATCAAAACTATTCAATGAATTAACAAGCTAAGTGGAGTTTCTGCTAAAGCAGCACACAGAAATGGCATTTATATGGTGAGTGAGATGTAGGGTGCTGTGGCATACCCACAATGTCTGTCCTGTAATCCCAGTGGGGAATAGTTTATATTTGCAGCAGGGCTTTTTTTGGCAAGCCAATCCTTCATCGGGGACAATTTTCTTCTAAAATAACAATAATAAAATAACTGGATTTCTAAGTTAGGATGGTAGTGTAATATCCCCTTTCCTTTTGTTCTATTTTAATTTTATTATTACCTTTTATCACTTCTATTGAGTTTTGGGCTAACAAGAAAAAAACACAAGTAAATTAATTATGGTGGTGTAAATAAGAATTTAAAGATAGTTGCCTTTTTGCCACTTGACTGGGAAAAATAAGGTTCAGTAAATTCTGGCTAGAGGAATGTCAGTGTGGTAGGTAAAAGAAAAAAGCCAGGAGTAATGACTGTTTCAATGACTCAGACATGTAACACCATACAAATTAACAACCCTAATGAAATATCACAGTAACCTGGGTTTTGTTTTCTTTGCCCAGTTTAAATCACTGCTCTGTCAGTCATATTTTTTATACTTCTTGAGCAAGTTGAATGAGATGGTAGAGCTGATGCCACAATATCTGTCATCAGTCACTGAGATCAAAGGACATGTAGCTCAAGTGTGAGCTTTTATCCTAAAATAGTTTATATATATGACTTTCCCGTAAGTTCTAATGGTTTAACATTTCAGATTTGTGCTGTTTTTATACAGGGATTTCTCCCTATAAGTCTGAAAAATCCTCGTTACCTTAATTTCACCTCAAGTTTTGGGCTTTCTTTTTTTGTTTTTTTTTTGCTTGTTTTAAATAGGGTGTTTCAAGCATATTTTTGTCTTGAAATAAACACTACTGAAAAAATTACTGAAAATTTTATAAGCTGCAGGTAATTGAACATAAAAGAGGAAAAATTCAAAGCACTGAACAGCACCACCGTTTATATCTAAAGGAAATTATTTTTAGTGCTAATAATATAGTTACATGCAGAAGAACAACCTTAATATTGCACACTCTCCTGCATCATCAGCATTACTGTCAATTATGCTTCAGCTGAATAATCTTTCACTGAGGATGATGTAAGAGGCAAAAGATTGTGAAAGAGATGTGTGTACCATCAAGCACAAGGGGAGTGAACATCATTTTGCTGTTCAAATTTTACTTTAAAGTGTTTTCCTGTGTTTGATCTGAATTTTAAGTGTACAGTCACATATACTTAGTTTTTTATTCTGAAGTTAAAGCACAGTTAATTCCCTGGGATTCTGAAATGCCAACAGTTATGTGAATAATTTATCAGGCTTCAAAACATGTTTTTTTTGAGCATAATGGTGAAAATATAAATATGGAGTACCAAGATTGTTTATACATTCTTTTTTTCTTTTTCTGAATGACCATTTTAAAATGCATTTAGCTGCGGTTCTTTTAAGATCTTATTCTCATAAATCTGTATATATAAACATGGCCCTGAAACCCCACAAATTTAAAGGTATTATTTAATCTTTTTTTTTAATATTAATACCAAAACTATTGTACCATTAGAGTGTTAGAAATATAGGGATTTTGGTGCACATATTACACTGACCTGATGGAAAGGGTGTGAGGGGCAATACATCTGCTGCACTTGAGGCTGGTAGCAGTACAAACCAGGCTGCCCTTCCAGTGGGGATGTCCTAAGCTTCATGTCTGAATCCTGCTGGAAAATATTTAAGAAATGAGTAATTAGAGAAAACACCTCAATTTAAAATAGAATAATTCTGTTAGTCACTGTTTGGGTTTGCCTTCATTATATTTGCATTTTTGGACTTAATTCTGTCACAGTAAGTGTTACATAGAAGTTGTTTTATATTCCAATGGTACAAAACAAGGGGTGACCCCCCCTGAAAGTGTTCAAGACCAGGTTGGATGAGGTTTTGAGCAACCTGGTCTAGTGGAAGTTGTCCCTGGCCAGGGCTGGGGGTTGGAACGAGATGATCTTTAAGGTCCCTTCCAACCAAAACATTTCTGTGATTCTGTGAAGACCTTAACCAATCCCTGCATTTCTATAATCACAACTTTAAAAAAGGAAATCCCAGGTCATGTTCAATTCAAAGAGCAATTCAGAAAACATCAGTCTGTTTATAGATTGAGATGCAGGGAATGTGTAGGAATAGAGTAAGAATCTTACTGTTTCAAGAACCTAGTAGCACTTATCCTTCTGCTTTAAAGCAAGGCCATAATGATCAGCTTTTATTGTATTTTAGTATGTCTAATATATGTTAATAAGTATATAAATTTATTTTAGTATGCCTACTAAATATTTTTATATTTAGTATTTTTGTGGTGTATTAGTAGGAGCACGTGTTAGACTTGATTTGATATCCTGACTCCAAGCAAATGCCACATCCAGTATTAACAAATGTCTGTGTTATTTTGGTGACCATCAGATAAGATTTACAGAAATCCCAACTTGCCAGAAGTGTGGAAGTGATTTAGGAGTCTGATATCTCTTGCTGACAGAACCATGGGAGACACTGACAAGCAGCCACTCTGCTCCTGAGTAGTTACATGTGCTTGTTAAGGGCTCCTGCAGTGCTGCCTTTACATTTTGCACATCTTGCAGCCCAGGGATTTGGGAAGACAATAGGAATTTTTTTTCATCAACTGCTCACAGGTTTTGCATTAAACTGCTCTGACCTAGATGAGTGTTTATCCAGGAAATAAGAGATTTAGATCAATTTCCTCCTTAACCTGAATGGCTTCAATCCCCAGGTATGTTCCCTGACAACATCTCTCCATTCCCTGGTCTTAATCCAATTAAGAATTTTTTTCTTTAATCCTTTTTTCTTTTGGGAGCCCTGAAATTCTTCATCTCACAGCCATTTAGAACCAGCTTAGGGCCCTCTCCTGGCAGGTGGAGTCATTGTTTTTGGCTGCATTAGATGATGAAGATACACTTTACACCTCTGATCACAGCAGAGGTACTGTGGAGATACTGGAGGGTAATTTAATTTGATTTTCAGGGATCTCTGCTGCCCTAAATAGACTCTTGCCTCCATCTTGTATTGGAATTCGGTAACTTAGCACTTCACATCCCATAAATAGGTCTGATATTTAAATTTTGATAGCACTGATACCTCAGAATTTCTCTTCCATTTGCACCAAGAAAAGTGTAGGTCTGCTGAGGGGTTGTAACAAATCTGATATACGTCCTCATGCTTGAGAAATACTGTTTTGTGAACTTTTGTATCTTGAAAATACTAGCTGATGACAACTACTGTTGTCAGGAAGATCTTGGATATTTAGGATTCATGTATGATGTATAATGGGAAATCATTGTACATCTTTCTGAGGATTATTTTCCAGTAGGGAAAGGCCTTAAATTAGAGACTTGGACAAATGAATATGGAGATGTCTAAATATGTTTTTCCTGAGCTCTAGCCTACAACTTGACAGGAGACTAAACGTCCACGTAGTAATGTTAAGATAATAATTTGAAAAGTATATTTTTGCCATTGAAAACAGGAAAAAGAAGTATAAAAAAATACTGACCATGACTTGTGAGCTGTGATCCTGACCTGTAGTGCTGTACTGGAGGCTGTTACACCACGGTTGCTCCGTGGAGATGTCCGGGATGTGCGTGGGAAATGACTCTGACTCGTCAGGACCCGTAGATCCTGATAGACCCTCAAAACCATCGATGCTTCTATGATTTTTGAAAGGTGAAGCTTCTGGTGGGAGGGCTTGGTGTGCTTCCTGGAAAACATCTTCGCTGATCTGCCTCTTGTAAGGGTGGAAGGGGTTCCTGCTGCTCTTGAGGAACCGGTCATAGTTTCCTACAGTGTTTTCCTCGTAACTGTACCTCCTGAATTTTTCTGTGCTGAAAGATGCTTTGAATTTGTTCTTGCCGCAGTGAATTCCTTGGTTTGTAGGGTATCTCCCATGAATTTGATCCTGGGCTGGGGAAGCAGGGCTGGGGCTGTGAGAAGACTCTGAGCTCTTCCTTTCTGTCCTGACGTCTGACTCATATGGTTGGCAGCTGTAACTGAGATTATCCTGCAATGAAATATTTGCATTTATTTATTTAGGATTCATGTGAACAAATTTTTGTTATTTTCATAATTTACTTTATATATTTATATAAAATGTAAATATTTTAATTGTATTAAGAATACATCGCTGATAAGTATAATATTATTAGTTCTAGTCACCTTCATGCAGAGAAGCCCTGAAAGATCTAAAGGGTTTTCTGATTGCTTGGTATCCAAACCTGTTCAACAATTAATTAAGAAAAGTGAGGCCAGGTTGGACTGGCCTTTGATCAGCCTGGTCTAGTGGGTGGCATCCCAGCCCACGGCAGGGGGTTGGATAATCATTAAGGTCTTTTCCAACCAAACCGTTCTGGTGTTCTATGAGAAAACTGAACTATCCTTGAAAAACAGGGTGTCTTAGGTAACCGTTGACTAGTTGGTCTGACAATTCCAGAGAAAAATGATGTATGATCAAGTGATGAAAGATTAAATGACAGGAATGTGATAAGTGCAAGTCTTGCTGTATGCAAGTTTAGTCAAATAAGCTTGATCTCATACTCTGGTGGTGTTACACGCTGCCAGATGGGTTGGTGGTTACATCACTTCCCTTCATTAAGGTGGCCACATTCATTCTAAGAGACAAGTAGGCTCTGGGCAGACGTTTTAACCTTCTGCCTGTCTCATCTCCTCCCCTCCCTTTTACACTTTAGCAAAAAGAAAATAACAGCTACTGAAGTGCTCTTTAATCTAAAGGAGAAAGGCTTAACGAGAACTGGTGTCTGGATCCTGACACCGAAAATATGCATATTTGCCCTGACACCAAGGATGAGTAACTACTTGGATGCCTTTGAGAAGACGTGCGTCAGTCAGGAGCAGGTTGTTGTGTTCAGGGAAGGGGGAAATGGAATGTTCCGTGTTACACAAAAACTCAGACCAGATTACTGAGTGCTCCCTTTGCTCCTTCCCCCCTCCAAATCCGAGTTGGTTTTACAGTGTTTTAGAACAGCTTAAGGAATATATGCCTTTATGGAAGAACCAGCTTTCAAGAAGTCCCACGGGGAAGCCAGCATAAATTCGGTGCTTTCTGCAGGGGAACATGGCCCAGCTTTTCCAGTCATTTGCGTGTGTGTTAAAGCCATTAATGTTTTGTTCTGTCATGGATCCCTGCAGAAAGCAAATCTGGCCTCATGGCACTTTTAGCTTCTCACATGAACACAAACTTGCTTGGTTTATGACTTCTTAATTCTTCCTTCCTTGCTCTCCTCTACATTCCTAATACACGCGTTTATGATCTCTTTTCTTAGATTAGAATTAAAAAATTCCTCCTTATATTTAGTTCCATTAAGCTGTATGAATGACAGGGCTGTCAATTCTCCACTTGGAATTTTCATAATAAAAGGATGGCAATGGTTATTTTGCTGTTGTCTGATGAAAAACAGTACTCTCAGCTGTACTTTTGTTATGAGACATGATGAATATACAGGCAACAGGACAGAGATCATGTTATTCTAAAAAACTCCCAAGGAATTGTGAAGTCCTTGAAGTCATCCTTTACAGGCAGGGAGGAGACAAAAAGGCTCTGATGTCTCTTTGTCTACCTTTTATTTATTTATTTTAGAATCAGAATGAGAATTAACTTTAAGAGTAGCATTTTTCCAGGATTAGAAGTTGGATAGATAGATAGATTCTCTGTTTTGTTTTTAAAGAAATAGGGGTTTTAAGCAATTGAATAAGAAATTTAGCACGGAGCTTAAGATAAGCTAAGGAGGATAACTCAGGTTTTTAACTCTTCAAGAATAAAACTTTCAATGTTTGCTTTGTTACCAGTAAGTTTGGTGAGATTTAGTACAGCAATAGCTGAATATTGTATTTGAACTTTGAAGAAAGAGGACAGGCCTGGGCCAGCTTACTCACACTTTGCTGAACTGGGGATATTGAATCCCCCTGTGTCTTCATGAAGTCTTGTTGATCTCTTTCCAGAGTGTCTGAAGATGAAAATTTAATATTGGATTGATCTTGGAGTAGCGAAACCATCACCAAATCCACGCCAGACACAAATCCTGTTACGACAAAATCAAATTACAACAAATATTTTTTAAAACTTAAAGTGTAAAACAAACTACCCTGTCGGGTGCTGATGACTAGACAGGGTTAGAAATGCAGCTGGACAATAACCCATTCTAAGAAATTCCTGATATAGCTGAATTTTTTGGTTAGCTCTTAAAGAAATGTTCTGTAGGTACAATGACAGCGAAGATGTGATTTGGAGTTACTGTGGGTTCACCACATAATTTTTATAAAAATAAGTAACTGCTTTGTTTTATGTAGGAACACAAATTAATGAAAATGTATTGCTTTGGAGTTAAGACAAGTTTAGCAATATCAGTTTATTGAGAAATTGTGGTATAAACACACCCCAGTTGCTTTCAGAGGCACTATACAAAAAAACAAATCTTTTTCTATCATTAGTCAGACTGATGGTTACAACACATGCATATTTTCACTTTTTCTCTTTTATAAGTCCCAATCCCTTCAGTTTTTCCACTCTGTTTTGCAAGATTAAATGTATCTGAGATATATAAATTACTTCATCATTCCATACTCATTTTTGTTAGTTAGATCTCCTCTCGAGTTCCCAGTCTTTGATCTTTGGATATATGAGACATATCTGATGGTGTTCTTTGGATTAAGAGGAATAAATTTAATCTTCTAATATTTTGCTTTCTACTTTTCTACTGACTTTTTCTCCCAATCCTTGTTCACTGTTGCCATGCAGTAAAACAAAGGTAGAACTTGCATCCTCTTTCTAATGTCATGCACAGAACACTACACCAAGTGTGTGCCTGCTTAAAAGTGTTTGTGCTCATAGTTTAAATTTCAGGTGTACAAGTTGAAAAAAACCCCACTTTAATTCAGGAGTTAATCTGCCAGGTCTTTGCCACGTGTTGAAATAGCTGTTAGGTAAATAACTGAGGGGTTTATTAGGTTTGGTTAACAAAGACATATCACCTAAAAATGTGGAAACCCTCTTTTGCTTTTATAGTTCAAAGAGAAATCTGTATTTATGATGAGTAAGACTGCACTGCCCCGGGGGGATGAAGCACAATGGGGCTTGGAAATCAAGCATGAGACCTATGGTGGTGTATCAGGAAAAAATGATGTTAGATAAAGTTCAGAAGTGTCTCAGGCACTGACTCTTCTCCCAGTGGCTTAACTGGAGGCTGATGAGGAGATATATTTCTCATCTTGAAAGAAGCAGGTGGGAAAACTGACAACTAGGAAATATATGTGTGTGTCTGTTTGTAATTGTGAGGGATCCAGTTCTTGTCCTTCCCCTCCAAGACCTCTCCCAGGTTCTGTTGATGAACTGCATTTTGGTGCCTCATGGAGGCTGGTAGGAAAGGAGGAGTCTTAACTGTCATTTTATCCTATAAAAATTCCCCACTGCGTAGGGAAAGTGTGGGGTTTTTTTGTTTTGTTTTGTTTTTACTGACTATTAAATGAGAAGCAGCCTTGTACTAAAACCATGTTGGCCTGATAATCTGCCTTCAATGGTGGTTGTTTAATGACTTCATTGAGAATCCATTTCAGAGGATCTCTCATATGGGGATAAATCCCAAGGCTACAATCAAAGCGCTGCTTTCAGGTTTTTTTCCACATTAAGATTGGCACCAGCAGCTCAGTAATAACTGCATCTCCAGGTTATCCTAATCCTGGAAATGGCATGCTGTGGATGTGTCGTGCTGTGAGAGAAAAACCTCTGGCCAGGTACATATGACTTTCATTTTTTCTTGGCCCCCAAACTTCTCACTCAAAAAGCCATTTGCAACTTCACTCTCACTGATATGTCTCAAAGAAGGCTGTGAACATAGATCAGTAGAAACTGCCAAATCAACATCCTGAATAATTTTTTGCTGTTACTGTTCTTTAAACCTCTTCCTTTTTTTTTTTTTTTTTTTGTTTCTAAAATATCCCTTAGAGATGCTTAACTTTATTTTGTAGAAAGAATATATAACAAAAAAAAAATCCAACCATTTGCATTGTTAATATAGATTTTAGCAAAGAGAAATCAGACCACTTACTGACAAACCTTCTTTAAGAGAAGAAATTATGGTTGGAGGAGGCTGCCAATAATTCAGGATTCCAATAAATCATTTACAATAAACTGTTCCTGGGAAACAGAGCTTAAGGAAGTTGTGGGTTGCCTGGATGTAGGACGTGTTAAAGAAAACAATGATGCTTTGATTTGGAAAGAGGTATCTGATTATCCCAGATGTAGCTGGAACCATTTCATGTCATTTTGACTGTTGTAAATGTTGCATGACAATCCAAGGCTCCTATGATGAGATAACTATCTCTAAAATAAGAAAATAGTGAGAAACTGTAACCTCAGCTGAGTGTTTGGGTAAGCAAGGCAGCAGCAGCTGATCTATTAGCTCTGCATGACTGAGTCCTGTGGCAGCAGTCCATGGTTTAAACAATTCCTGGTTTTGTGTCTCTTGGAGGGCGTTTTGCTGGTGATACACTTCACCAGAGCTCGGCACTGGGCCGCCTGAGCAACCCGAACTGCTCTGAACTCTGCACGTTACTGTCAATGCCCTCTCCATCCCTCGGGGCTGTGATCAGTTTTCCTGAGAGGAAGGTGTGTTTGGATGTTCCCCAATTCGTAATTCATCCCCCAGGCACTGCCTCGAGCAGCTCCCTGAGCCCATCTCGACACTACCTTGTGTTATCACTCCTCCGCCCCCTCCCCAAAACACTAAATCATCTTTTTCCTCTCCAGATCACACTGATGTTTTCAAATGCAAGGGAGAAACACCTATTTGGGATTTTTTCCCCCCCCGAGTCTTTTTTTTTTAGAGAAAGGAGTCAACCCATGAAGTTTCAGAATTCCATTTTTCAGTTTATAGTTAAAAAACTGTCATATGTCAGTCAATTATGTCATGTTCCAGATATTGTAGAGGTGCCCAAAATGTTGTGACTAACACTTGTCGTGTATACAGGAATATTTCTACACATAATTATTTATGGGAAATGTTTGGAAGAAAAGGAATTTATTAATGAGAATCAGTTTTTCTGTTATGGCTTTCAATGAATTCAAGGCCTTTCTAAGGTTATCATGGAAGGTTTTGCTGGCTCATGGTTGGTGGCAGCTATTGTTGCACTGTTGATCTCTAATATCCTTGTCACTAAGGCTTGCCCTATTTTTGGGAGACATTTTCAGGAGCAAGATTTTAATCTGCACAGCCCAGCACTAAACTCTGGTTTAGCCACATGAATTTCTTACTGCTTCCTTGCTTCTCTTTACAGGATGTATTGGACCTTGATTACAGGATACTTGAGTAACTTTACAGATCTTCTAAGGATTGTAATTTCTTCTCTTCTAAATTTAAATCTGGTGGTGAGTTTGTTTAATTCAACTATGCTATTTTTGCTTTCTTATTCAAGGGATCTGAGCTCAATTCTCTCATGGTTAGCTAGTGGTAACTGCCCATATTTCACTACCTCTTGAAATAACTTTTGCATATTTAGTGGAAAATAAGGTTAATTCATCAGGGCCGTGATAATCTCAAGTATGAGTGAAGAAAATTTGCGACCATGAGACCCTTTCTGCATCCAGTTACATGGGATGTGTTTGCTACCTGCTTAATAGCAGCTGTCAGGGAAGAAAGAGGGTTTGGATTCAGCTGGATTACAGCTTTCCTGATGTTACAGCTCCATGTGAATCAATTTCTATGGAATAGTTATTCTGAGAGGGATATAAATAACCTGATTGTTACAACACTGAATGAGCTTATGTGTATGTAATTGGTTTTCAGAACTCCATAGAAGTGTAGATTTGACTCTAGATCTGGGAGGGGAATAATTCCATATGAGTTTGGGTTTGAGACTTCTTGTGTGATCTGGCACTTGACTAGAATGATGATGAGCTTAATTAAATACATTTAACCGGGATAAGTTGTCTAGTGGGGCACTTCAGGGTTTAGGATTAACTCTAATTTCCTATATTTTTCTCACCAGGGGTTTGAGAGAAAGTGAACTGGTTGATGGCATTCACACGTAGCAGTAAAAGATTGTGTGTTAAGACAGATATTGCAGAAGGGAATTGGGCATTATGAAATGGCAAAAGACATAATGGCAATTGGAAAAATGATGGAGAAGGAGCCTGGATCTAGCAATTCTCTGAGAAATTGTAGCATGATAGACAGTGTGGTGGCCTGCAGTATCATGGGCCATAAAGAAGTCTACCAAAATTTCAGGTCACCTACATTGAGGTACTGAATTCCTGTAAGAGGATGCCATTTTTAATGATATCACTCCTGAATTGTCAGGGTTTATTTCTATTCATTAAGGGCTACCTGCAAGCAAAGGCTGAATACCAGGTGATCACTGTGTACTCTATGGACTGAGGGTAATTGCCACCATGTCCAAGTGTCCTCTCCAACAGCAGTGGTTGGGAACTCTGGAACATCCAGGTGCCTCCCGAATGAGAAGGTGGAGAGAGTGTTTGCAGCAGGTGTTTAATCTGCTGTAGGAACACATTTATAAAATACCACAACTATCCGTATAAACAAACTGTTTCCAAAAATAAGAAAGGCATTTGTTCTAAGTCTGTTGTATGGAAAAAAACCACCACTTTTAGGAGCAGAATCAAGACATTTTCTGCATGGCTGAAGATAGTAAAATATAGAAGTGATATTCCTCTCACTGTGTTCTTTGGACCAGGCTCCCATCCTTACATTAATATTCTAACTTTTCTTCCTTACTTATATTTTATCCTGCATCTGTTACTTTTGACACCAACTGTGAGGATACAGGAGCACATTTGTCCCTGGAGAGGATTTTGTGATTTGTTAAATCTTTCTAGTATTTTCCTCTTTTCTGGCCTGATACTTAGTCATTTCTCATCCTGAAGCCATTCCAGACCTTTTGTTATACCTGAGCCCTTCCTTGAAGGATTTCTAGTTCTGCTAAAACCTTCCTTGGATAGGAAGACAAAACTAGATGTAGGTACACATGATGTTTGCACAGCA